TATCAAGAAGGCATCAAAATGTGTCACTTTGCAAAGACATGAAAACACCTGCAGTAACCGACACAAAAATAGCATTTTTAGAGTGATGAAATAATTGCACTTAACTGTCATGGATATTAAAGTTATCACACATATGTACCGCGAAAGCTAGAATACATTTTTTTTTTTACAAAGCACTTTATAAAAAAATTCTCTGCACACAAAACCTATAATTTTCATATTACTATCATACTAAAGATAAATTCACTTTAAAGCCAACACGTAAAACATTTTAAACAAAAAAAGGTACCAGTACCTACACACAGACAATAACAAATACAAGAATACTGTACTGCCAAGAGGTTTGACTGAAACTCCTTTTGAAAGCTTCTGCAAATATGTTAAGAAAACATTGGAGAACATTCACTTTTTTTCAAAGAGCCTTCCCTCCCTGTCTAACCTAGAGGTACTTTATCATCAAAAGGCAAGTTCTACATCAAAAGTTACCAGCAGCAGTACAATATTAAAGTAACCACTGACCATATATGAATATGCTTAAGTCACAAACCCATTTTATACACATTACACAAATAAACATAAAGTGAGAATTCCATTAAGTCATTTACAAATGTGAACAAATGCACATGGCAAAAAAACCCCAAAACAAAACAAAAACCCAACCTGTTTTACATAAAATGTACTGAAGAATTAAAGGCTATTCAGGTTTTCAATGTTATAAAATTCTTTTGTCTTTTTTTTTTTTTTCAGGCACATATTGTATTTTTTGTCTGCAGTCATGAGCCTGAATCAGAGGCCCATAAAACAAAACAAAACAAAAACAAAAACACCTATTCTGTAAGGAGGTAACAGGGATCCATCTCCTTTTAGTCAACTGAGTGCATTTAAGATTTAATTTACACACTAAAACTAATTACATGATCTCAGCAAGAATGACCCGAGAAGTTAAAAGATGAAGATGTCCAAAATGTTTCTTGTACTTTGACTTATCCAGCCTCAATCTTTTTTAGGGGGCTAAACATCTCGCTATGAAAGAGAAGAGGGGAAAAGAGATCATCCTGAGAAAAGTACAAAACTGGACTCTATTATACACATCTGCCGTGTGACCGGGTACGTGTACGAGTACGGGTCAAGTAAAGGGTAGACAAAAGGTTTCTCAGTATGTGTGGTTGAGTGATCCAGGGAAACTATAAGGGAACTGCTTCAGAAAGCAAGTATGCCCTAGGACTTGCAGTGGAAAAATAAATAGATATGGATTAGTAGGTCAAATGTTGTATCTGCCTTGAACTGGCCAGTTACTTACATTCAACATTAATGTACACCCTTCATTATTTCAAATAGCCTATACCGTGGAGGTTTTAACGGAAGAAGCTACTGCCAAACTTAATGAGCTGTAGCTGTGATAGAAAAGGAAAGTGAGAAACAGGCATTATATCTGCAATTCCTTCAAAATAGTGGTGCAGTACCTAAATAAAATCATTTTGGAATTCAAGTAAGTAAAACTACATTTGTTAGTAGTAATTTTTAACAGCCCCAAATGGTACCATTATGCTTATTGTAATATTTTAATGAGACAGAAGTGTAGTCAATCACAAATATTGACTAGTACAACTGAAACGTTTGGTACTAACTGAAAATATATGCCCTACTTGTGGGGCAAAAGTGTCTTTGCCCTACCTCAGTCTCATTGAGTTCAACAGATTACTTGTCTTAGAGAGGTAAGTGAGATCTAGACCTTGAAGGAATAACAAAAATAATATTTTAGAGACAGGGAACTTGAATTATCACAATATTTACCACACAGTGTCACAATATTTCTATATATAAAAAGTTAATCTTAGTTTTCATCAAATACTTTAAAAATCAAGTTAAAATTGTATTCACAACTATATAACCCCTCTGACAGCTTTTGGTTTTGCTGATATTTGTTCTTTCTAACATTATTTTCTTAAAATCTTGCTCCTCTTCCCATCGATTTTAGTTGTAGTGTGCAGTATGGCCCCGTTCACAGAAGGCATCAAATACAGGCACCTTATTAAGAGGAGCTAATTTATTTTTTTTTCCAAGACATCATCTGGGAGAAAAACAAAACAAAACGACCCTGTGTTTTGAATCGTGCTGGCCAGAGTTTCTCTTAACAGCACCTTCATCCACAACGCTCACACTCAACATTTCAATGCTTAAAAACACACAATTGCATTAACCTTAGCTATTGTCTGTTCTCCATGTTCATCTTGTTTAATGCATCTGACTTTCAGCATGCACAACCCTGTAAACAAAATCTTCTGTCTAAACAAAAAATCTTCACAGATACCGAAATATTATTAGAGGAGAACAATAAAGTCACATTTGTCCACTGTCTGAAAATCTGCAGTATATGGATCTCTCATTATGCAGATGCACAACTGGATGAAGAGAATATAAATATGAATAGTTTTCATTTTTATATCGCAGACAAATCAGGTGCTGGTTTGCAATGCTGTCAGAAATGGCAAACAGCAGATTATTCTTCAGCAGGTTGATCATTAGCAAAATTACTTTGCTATAAATGGTGCTCTTTTGTGAATGGAGGCCTGTAGATTCAACTTATTCCAATAAACCAAAGGCATTACGGTGATAACTAAATATTTTTGGTCTCTCTACAAATTGTCATTATTATGGCAGCACTTTTCTAAGCTGGAATTTCAAACCAAAGGCACTTTCATGCTAGAGTGCAGAAGAGTCACAATTAATTATTTGGTCATGAAATTTAAAAAGGCAGCATTTATTAATACAATTCACTTTTCACAGAGAACTAAGAATCTGTAACCTTTCCTTTTGGTATAAACATTTAACTGCGTAGTAATGGGACTGACTTGTACAGAACATTGGTTTAGACCAAGCAGTCAAAGCGCATTTCTGTGGGAAAAAATACAGATATTTTTTAAAATGGAACCAATTAATAAAACAATATATAAAATTTCTGTTAAGAAGCTAAAGGTACTTCTAATATAATGCTAAGGCACTGCATATTGTAATGCTTTGGCAGCTCTCAATTAAAAGGTTCCTACAAAAAAGTAACAGTAACAAGATAAGTATTTCCAGCTTACAAAAGAGCTCACAGTTTACAGGCAGCCTGTTGGATTTACACACCCCACACTGAACAGTTGAAGGATTAAGGCTTTTAAGAATTAACATATACAGGGTACGGATCATTTACAGAAGTGTAAAGAAAAGACGATGGAAGTAGTTTCCCTAATATTACATATGTGAACACCAATAAACATTGTGACTTTTTATACCCTATAGTTATGGCATATGTAGTGTGCCAGATTCTATTAAAAAAAACTGTACCTGGTTTTGCAAATTGACTTACATACTTTATATGCCTTAAAGAATTTGCTTGTTATTAAAAAAAAAAAAAAATCACCAAAACCACAATTCAAACCCTAAATAAAAGACAACTTTAGAACAAAATAAAACAAAAAAGTAGTTTTTGACTCATAACACCAAGTGCTTAGAATAAAGGGCTACCGTTAGGCTGTTACATTGCAGTGCTTTTCCTGATGTGATTGTTAGTGTTAAAAATGAGTGTTAAAAGAGACCTTACCATGGACATATTTCTCTGTTCAGTTCACCCAAAGATCATCAGCCCTAATATCCACAAGCAGGTAATAGCTAGACATCACAGCAATCGTCCACCTACAAGCCGTAGATCAGAGGCAGGCTAAGGAATTTAAGCAGGTCTCCCTTCCCCTCGGTGATGTCTGTATCGTCCTCTAACCTGAATCCCCACCAGTGTAAGGGATGAACCTGATCTGGCGCAGACACACAGCAACCCGCTACCTCATCTGGCCTATGTCTTAGTCTAGACAATTCAACAATGGGCGATTCTAACAGAGGGTACTGTGCAGAAATATAATATTAAAAAATTAAGACTGGCTTTTCTGAAGACTACAGTGCTGTGCCTGGGAGTAAATTCTAGACTTAAATTGTGCAGGGGCGCACATCAGTAAAGGGCAGGGAGGCAGGACCTGCTAAATGGGATCTTCTCTGATTCAGGACTGCAAAAGACCTCCCCAAGAACACTCTTTGCCAATACCTCATGACTGATCTTTAAGGTGGCTTGTGCTTGGCCGGGCAGCCCCTCAGCCTTTCAGACAAATGTTTTGCGTGAGAGCCCGCTGCTGGCCCAGCACCTGCTGTAACAACTGCTGCTTGGGCAACCCAGGGGCAGTGCTGGCTGTGCAGCAGAGGAAAAGAAACTGAGCAACACTCTCTGGTGCAGCCAGGAGGAATGAGACTACTCTCACATGTGCGTACCTCAGACAACCACTCACACCCACATCCATGGTTTGAATCCTCACAGTATTAAAATATCTCCAGCTGTACTTCACTTCCTGGAGTCTTCCCTGAATATATGAGAAGGATGAATATTACCACATCCAGATGCAGGAGGACATCAGACCCCACGTGGTATAAATGTGTTTGTTTCATATAAGGTCTTTGCCAGTTGGAACTGGAGAGACAACTGGGAGAGGTGTAAGAGCACCATGATAAAGAGGAAAAGGATAAAAAAAAAAAAAAAATCTCCACTTTCCAATCTTCTTTGACGTTGGTTGTGATTTTCTAGCATCTCATAGATATTAAAGCTGTTGATCCTTTCAGAGGTGTATGTATTCTTCTTTCTAACACATTAGTGTTTTGCTTTCAGTTTACGAATTACTCAATGCTGTTATAATGTTACTTGCTTCCGTTCATCTGTTAATTTCAGAGTTGCAAGTTTTTCTCTCAAGTTATTAGAAAACATAATTGTCCATATAAAATATAACTGCACACACAAGACTACGTATAATGCGAGTCTAAATCTTCAGTATTTACCTACTTATTGCAAAATGAGCCATCTTTTTCATTAAATAATCAAATTTTCATATTAGTACAATACAACTTTATACTCTTTTAAAATACACTAGATATGTTAGGGGTAAGGGATGATGTTTTCTTTCTCTGCAATACCTGTTTGAAAATTTAATGGATAAGAAGTTTAGTTTTAGCGTTGAGAAAAAAATACAAAATTTGCCTAATTTTAGGACCTGTTTCTATCAGGCATTTCTTAAGGCTATATTTTTCATTTGGTTTCAAACAGAAAAATGTTTCATTTTAAAAAATAATTTAGTGAATTACATTCGTCCATATCTTCCACCCTAATTAGTTACAAAGATAATTCTATAAAGATTATTAACTTTGTGTACTCATTTACAGTTATAGCTAAAGATTCATTTCAATTTCATTTGCATCGTAAAACAAGTATTTCATGTTGGAAAAAAATCCAAAATAAATTCTTATAAATGCTGTCAGTTTTTCCCCATGGCAAATGCTCTGTCATACATTTTTCTATCAGAATTAAAAATAGGCCTCCACAGACAGAGGCGTTAGGTTCTTAAATACAGTCTTCCCAAAGAACTGTGGTTTACAAATTTGAAGAACACTTAGTTTTAGAAATAATTTTTACAACTGTACCAGAATTTCACAGCTACAATTATATATGAAACACATTAAAAATTACTTCACTAAAACAGGATTTAGAAAAATGTGGGTGAAAGTTGGGCCAGAGGCACTGCCACTTAGTGTTGAGGTTTACAGTCTGTGTTTTGATAAAGAAGTGAAATGAAGTGTATATATAAATAATTGCTCAGTCCTTTACAAGCCTGTAGATATGATGCTGTGCTCCGTGTTCGCTGTTTGACACTTCAAATACGCAAGCCATGCAGAGCAGGGTTTCTTGTGTATCCCTGTTTGTTACAACCTGTTTGAGGGAAGGAAGAGGTAGACAGTATATTACAAACTTGGAAACACCAGGGTCAAAACAAGAAATGACTGGCTTAATTTAGACAATCTTTAGATGTGACTGTTTCAGATGTGTGTCGTCTTGCTCTCTGACTGCGCTCACGCACTGTGCTCTGGGGGCTGAGCTGCGGGGCTGCAGCTCCCAGCGGAGGGCACTGCGATTCACTGCACCCCGGCTGCTTGACCATGAGCCACTGTCGTGCTCTTGGCTCAGCCTTCCTGTTGTGGTTTCATGCGCTCGGCTGAAGGATAACACCACACAGCCACTTGCTCACCTTCCCCCGTCCCAGGGATGGGGGAGAGAATTAAAGGGGTAAAGGGAAAAGAGACTCATGGGTTGATATAAGAACAATCTAAAAACTAAAGTGCAATAAAATTGAAAAAAATAATAATGATAATAGTAATATGCAAAAATATACATAAGAATGATACACAGTGATACTGCTCATCACCCGCTGACCAAGGTTCAGCCTGTTCCCAGCCAACAAGCCCAGAGCAGGGAGAGTCCCAAAACCACAATCCCAGAAAAAACGATAAGAGCCCAAGCATCCACGAGACAGAGAGCCAACCAAGAGTGTGAGATGACCCCGAGAGAGAGGGGGAAGTGACCCAGAGAGAGAGAGAGAACTGCTGGACGGAGCCTCATCTATATACAGGGCATGACATGCATGATATGGAATACGCCATCGGCCAATCTGAGTCTTAAGCCTAAACTTAAGATCAAATCCTAGGCTAGTAACTGGCACAGCAGAGAAGCTGAAAAGTCCTTGACTGTCCTGGCAGCAGCTAAAACATCAGTATGTGATCAGCCTTCTCCTCAGCACAAATCCAAACTGCAGCCTCTTACTAGCTCCTGTGAAGAACGTTAACTCTGTCTCAGCTGAAACCAAGACACTTCCTCAACCGGAGCCCCACTTCAGCAAAGGGAGACTGCTGCACCCTTGTCACCTTGTGTTCTCTTGCCATCAGGTAGCTGAGCAGCATGCACATGGCTCTGCACTCATGGCCCTGCCTCTTCCCCATGTTGCCAGCCCTATGTCCTGCACAAATCCTACGGCGGCAGCAGCAGCGGCGCATGGCTCTAAGTGCTTGGCTGAGATGCCACCACAAAGCCACAGTGAAAGCAAGGTGGGTAACTGGATGAAACTGGCTTAATGGCCACTATGTGGGCCATTGTTCATGCATTAAATCACCTGTTGGGTGTACCCATTATTGCATGCTGGCCTGGCCCAAGAACTAATTAACACCACTGACAGTTGCAGTATTATAACTGGCATCTCAGTAAGAACACATCATTAGATGAATGGGATGGTTCAAAGTTTCTGCCTCAGGCTCACTACAAACACCAAATAGAGACTTGCATGAAAAAAAGAGAGAGATGTAAGCGGAATTTTTGGAAAGTAACAAAGATGTTTGCTTATGTTCTCAGCCAGCTTAGCCTTTCATCCTTTGCGTCTATAGTGCACAATTCCAAGAGTATTACTATGAAGTCAATGGGATTTGTTTAGTAAGCAGTATAACTAAGGGATTCGGAAATGGGTTCTAAATATTACAAGTTAAGCAATTCATACAAAGCCTGAAAGTATTTTAGACATGGAAAAATAAAAAGTGAGTCCATACCAATAAAATTGTAAAATTTTCCAACACGCTGTTCATCATGTATTTCTCTGGTAAATGCTTCAGCTTGTGTATGAAGTTGATCATATATTCACACATTGGAGAGCGATTTATTCTGTACACGAATCGGCCATTCTCAAACCTTGCATATTCAGTCTGAAAAAACAAAAAAAACCAAAACAAAACAGATTATTTAGAATAAGATAATTCAGAAACAGGAAAAGAGTTAATACTAAATTTGTTTTTTTTTTTCTTTGTGTAGGCAGAAAAAGGAGAAAGTGGCTTTCAGAAACACACATCCTCCCCCAACTTGCTAACTCCCTGCCTCAGCTATGCAACGCCTTGCTAAAAAGTCAAGGACCATTAATTATTACGTTATAATATCACTACTTGTTCTCTAGCCTGTGAATTAAAAGGCTGACCAGAGCAGGCTTACACAAAGGTAAGTCCAAGTCAAGTAAAAATGAATTAAGCAGAAAACTTTGTGGTGAGATGATTTTACAGTAGTTTCCAGGGAACTGTCTGCAAAGGGAACAGAAAAAAAAAAAAAAAAAAAAAAAAGCTTATGTATTTATGCATAAATATACACACACAAACATGGCTATATTATTGCATTACAGAAAGATGCAAGACTACAGTCAGAATTAAACCAGGCTGGTTTAGATTGCGGGGGCTCACAAGGGGCTGAAGGAGGGTAAGGCTGTGACTCGTGCCCTCCTGCTGCCCAGCTACCAGTTGCTCAGATCAGGTACTCGGTGGCTTGTGGGGTTTTTTGGCTTTCTCTAAGCTTGGAATAACGGAAATGATGGAAAACTTTTTTATGGTCACCATGCACAGAAAACATTTAGTATAAAGACATGAATAGTGACACCAAGACATATATAGAGGCTCAGCCTGCAGGTCTAGGCTAAAATTCCTGTACAAAAAACATATTGCAGATAACAGATGTGAGTGTGGGGCTTAGTGCACAGAAGACAAGTTAACAGCTGCACTACAATTGTATAATAAAACAAGTAGGTACCTGACCACACATACGGTTCTGTGCTTAGAAAAGGTAAAAAATAAAAAAAGGTCCTTGCATGTTAAGAAAATATGCACCTTTGTATTCAAAAGCTGCTGGTGACTGAGGAATCATGTCTTTCTGTGCATAAAATAAGATAAAGTAAGCATGGGTATAGATGGAACATAGCACACCACCCATGGCTTTAAAATGTTTAAAAAATCTGGATGATACAGGGTAGCTCATTACTGTACTATGGTTCCAAAGAGGCTACATGGCTGGCCAAGTGTTTGGGAATGGGAGCAAAAGAATTTTTGCCTCAGCTCTTTTTCAGCCAGGTGGTGGAGGAGGCGGCACTGATGTCAGATGCAAGTTCTCCACCGAAGGGTGCCACAGGCAGGGTGGAGAAAGGTCTCCAAAGTAACAGGTAACTAGGATTTTACTTAACTGTCGTGTCACCATTCACACGGTGATTTAAAATGAACTCAAACACTGCTGGGAAGGAAAATACTCTTTCAGGAAGGATTAGCAGAAGGAAGGAAAAGACAGAGAAGAGCAAAGCAAAGATGAGAAAAGCCTAATTAAAATGACAGGGACCAGAGAATCACCCCACATATCCCATCACAACACCCACCTCTACTTTTTCTACTACTTGCTTTCCAAACGAGCAGACTTTGGTGGAACAGGTGATTGTCATGTTTTCTGAGCTCTCGTACTGACTAGTGACTCCGTAAAACGCTCCTGTATCATCTTGAATGTTGCAGTTTAAGTCAGCCTGTTGGGAAAAGGCAAGAGATGTTGAAGATTTTATTTTTCATTTGACAATGTCAGTAGCATGAGCTGTAACTAGCTCACTGTTCTGTTCAGAAATAAGAGAGAGAGAGAGGGGAGTTGTACAGTGACAACACTAACGGTGGAAAGAATTTGTCAGGAAAGTACCTGCCTAATTGTTGCACTAAAAACCTTAGGGAAGCGGCAATTTCTTCAAACTTTAAACAACAAAAGACAATGCAGTATTTCTCTGGTCTACAGGTGACGTTCTTGTCTGGCAGATGGCTGATGAAGCCCCTGGACCAAAGGGAACGATCACCTGCAAGAAGCCTGGCTCCAGGGCTGACTCCTCTGGAGGGAACCTGCCCTCCGGTCTCTGATGCAACCGAGCCACCCCGCTCCCAAAGGGCCATAGCTCACTTTCTCCTTTTCCTTTCTTAAAGCAATGAAACGCTCACGGCAAAGGCAGCCAGCTGCACAACACGGGAATCGATCTCTGATAAGGCCCTGATTCAGCAAAACACTTGACTTCACGGCGCCGTATGACGCAACTCGCCAGCTTCACCCGAGCTGTGTGTGCACCGAGCCCTGCCGACTGCACCAATAAAGTATTACTGGAAGTATTTCATTTCTTTCAGTATCTCCCTGCAGCCTGAATAACTATCCAGCTGCCTTTGATATCTAGCAACAGAGGTTGAGACTTGCCGGATCAAGTGAGGAACAGTGCTACCTTTAATTATTTACATCCAAATCCAAGCCCTGCGCACAGCATGATTAATTTGGCTACAAAGCAGCAGCACAGGTCACATGCTGAATCCAGGCTCCCCAGCAGCACTGAAGCTGTTCTGCCACTGTGCTCTTTTTCATCATGAATCCATTTTCAAAAGCCCTCAACTTAAAAGAGCACTAATATGGACACGGGCAGAGTCTAGGGATATCCACAGCTGGATTTGTTGATTCAGGCATTAGCTCTGCGGACATCTTTGGTGCCCAAGGAGAGAGTGGGCAGCGTTTTCTTTTTATGTGGAAACAGCTGACCAGCTACTGCAGCGTAACATAGAAGGATTGTCTGAATTTTTAACTTACTCCGAGATGAGCACTTTAGCAGGGAAATGTACTTTCACAGCTGGTCCACTTGCAAGTCTAGCTCAGCTTGTTTTTTATTGCTAATATAGAAATGTAACACAAACATTTCAACAGATACTTTCATGTCTACCTTGAGACTCTTTAAAAAAAAAAACAGTTTAGAGGTATGTTTATTAACTAGATAGCATGGAACATTTATAATCCTGCCTTCACTATAGTTCAGGTCATTTGTAACTGCTATTTAATTTTTAACTGGGCAACAACTCATTAATTCTACTTAGCGTCTACAGTCCTTATTTGTGGTACAACGTTCTGAGGCAATACGCTGATAATAGCACACACTGAGCTAGTTTGTGGTACAGAGAAGACATAGGTCTAAGATTACTTCAGGCTGGCTTTGGTAATTTAATCAGTGGAGAAGTCTCCTGAGGTTTACACACAGTAACACAAACAGCCCTATAGTCACGTATTTTGCATAACAGAAAGAAATCCTATCGCTATTACACCTTGTTTCTCGCACATGTTTTGCATGAGGTCAGCAGTTAATGTTTAATGTACATCTAAAGCAGTGTTCACAGTGAGCTGTAAGAAATTGTTCTAAGCTAATAGTAAATAAGCAATTTGCCATCACAGCTGGCTTGCAATCAAAACATGACAAACATCTAAACATGTAGCAGCCATCAGCCATGCCACAGCTGCTCCACCGGAATTTCTGAAAAATAGGGATTTCTGATAAAACAATTGCATTGTTGTAAATAATAACAACAACCACAATAATAGTAGTAATCTCTTAATAAGTGGTTATTCCTATAGCTACCACAATTACAACCTTACTATCAAAACATTTTCTCTTTTTTCCTTTCAGATACAGGCAAAATATTTAAGAAATCATAACTAAAACACTCCTCACAATTTCATACTGTCAAAATAGTCAACCATGTAGACCTTACATGTCAAGCTGCAATAATATAGAGTTTAAAAAAAAATAACTTTTTATCTGCTGCCTTCTGATTTTGAAGCCCACTGAAAAAAATATCTAATTGTTGTATTTACATGCTGACATTTAACCTGGAAAAGTAACACATGTGGCCATCTGGCACCCTGTTGATCAACTCCCGCAGCTCTTCCAACTCTTTCTGAAATCACCAGGAGTCCTGTGCACACAAAATATACAGGCTGGGGCCCCAATATTTGAATGAGGAACGCTTGAAATTATCACCCAAATGTCACGATGTACTCTTATCCAACCAGAACATTGTTGCAAAGTCCCATGATGATAATATAGATGTGAATTATCTTTATTTGTGCCTCAATTTTTTTTTTTGAGTCTAGCACACAATGAAGGTGTTTTCAAGGAAGGACAGAATTTTCCTTTTAAACAACAGTTTTCATGTTCAACTAATTACAGGGTGTTAAGAGCTGAAGCTTTAAGACTCCTCCAAAAAAGTGTAAAACCAACATCAAAATCACAAGAGTTGGCAATGGCAAATACTCTTAAATGAAGGATTCACCAAAGCCTCTTTTAATACTGAAAGAGTTTTGTCTCTTCTCATATACTAAAACAAATCTTTCCCCTCAGTCTGGATTCGAACTTTTTCACTAGAGGCCGAGTACACGAACACCAGGAAGGAGCGCATATCGTCATTAAGAGGCGATTGTCACATCAAGGACATATTGTGACCCAGGTGTTGAAAGATTTGTTCCCTGCTGAATACCTTAAGGAAAAGATTATCACTGATGGTCAAATACAAAACTTTGTTTAAAAAATGATGTTGAAGGAATTGCTAATGATATTGTTATGGCTTACATAGTAAGGGCTTTATCTAAACACATATGCCTGAAAGCAAAATTGTATTTCTTGAACTGACAAAAGTGGGTCACAAATAAAATTCAGGCTTGGTGGTTTTTTTTGGTGTTTTTTTTTTTTCTTCCCAAAAAAGGTTATGAGACTACCAAAAAAAAAAAAAAAAAAAAAAGGCTGCACTAAAAACGGGCACTGCTGTGGCTATGGGAGCTGTACATGTAGCTTTGAGCAGGAATAAGGCAATGTGTTACCCCAATACTCAGTTTTAGCAGGCTCCTTACAACAGTATTGATTCCAGTTTTTGTGTCTACATTTTAGAGAGGATGTTGGAAAATTGGAAAGTGTTCAGAAAAGAGTTACAGGAATGATTTCAGGTCTGGAAAACATCCTTTGTAGTGAATGACTAATGAAACTCCATCTACTTACTTTTTCCAAGGAAAGTTTTTCCACAACTTTGTTAATAGCCTACAAGTCGCTACATGGGGAAGAGTCTTCTGATAGATTAAATCTTGCAGAAAAGGACATTAAAAGACAGAAAGCTAAAGCTACGCAAAAGCTAAATGAGAAACAAGGCAGAGGCTGGTAACCCTAATGGCAATGAAATGCTGGCATAATTTTCAAACGTGGTGGAATCACCATTATTTGGGGTCTTTTTTAACCAAGCTAATATCTAACTAACAAGCAGGGATGCTCTAGGTCAAGTACGCTTATTGTCTGGAGGCAGACACTACTTAGTGAGGTTCACTGCCTATATTACAGAAGAGGGAAGACTAGATAAATATAATAATAGCAAAATTGAAATATAGGAATTTATCTTATTAACCTCAGTTAACCCTCTCCTTATAATTTCTTTTTTCAATGGTCCCTGTGAAAAACATAACAACAAGTCAAACTTCTGGAGTGCTTTGCTTGCAGTCTCTCATGCAGCAACGAGCTTTGTCTCGTTATTTCCTTGGTACTCCATCTCTAGCTGCGCTCTTGCATCTCAGACTCAGATGGCAAGTTTTCCTGGGCTGCAAACCAGCTTTCCCATCTGTACAGCTTCTCATGCAACTACGCTCTGACCCATGGCTTCAGGAATTAGGGTTTGTGAGCCCTATTGTAGCGTATACAGATAAATAACCTTTTGAATGGTTATTTCAAATATATTAGCATGATTTCAAATATTATGGCATTTCAAATACTATGATATGATCACATGTGATGAACAGGAGTCCATCTACTCATTGAATTTTAAAATACAAGACCAATATAATTTAGGAAAAAAAAACCTACAACTTATAAACAACAATGGGATTTTTTTTTTTTTTTTACTTTAAAGAGTAAAACTCTAATTTTGTTTTATTTCTAAGACCTGAGATTTATATTAGCTGAATGCATTTGGAGGCAGGAGAGGCACTTAGCTTTCTGGCACTCTATAGTGGTTGTGTAAGAGCATGATTACTTCATTAATAAAGCATAGCTTGACAATGGGTAGCACTGAAAATATTACATATTAAGAACATCAAGTGTTTGACGTGCTGCATGGAGAAACCTCTCCCAGTGTGCCAGAGCAAGCACCAAAACTGAGCTGGCTGCAACCAAAATAAAGAGTAAATTTAAAAAAAAAAATTATTCTTCATATTCACTTCAGAAAGGCTCTCAGGCTCCGTGTTAAAGGTGGGGGGACAGAGAGTAGAGTGCTTGTATAATAACAACAGCTTTGGCTAACAAAAAAGCAACTCCAGCAAAAATTGCTGAGAAGAGTCTATTTTCCTGCTGAGTAGAAGGAAAACAGCACCTATTGGAAACTGTGGGATCTGGGGAGGGCCAGCACAATTGACACTGGGATTCAGCAGTTAACGTTAAGCACATAAGGTCACTTATTAACAACATATAGGTTCTAACAACTGCTGACTGCAGGGAGGTGTGTTGCTCATATGACCACATCATGCCTCCCCTCCTCCTCTCCAAAGAGTGATCAAAGAGCAGAGATTCCAAATTGTGAAGCAATTTTTTCCAACGGGAGCATCTGGGTCGCTGGCACGTTTCACTGTGCGTTACACTGCAGCTCAGGAATCGCGGCCAGGTCTGCCACATGGTTGGGCTCGTGATGGACAGCCCAAGCTGCTCCG